ATCGATCTGGACTGTACAGTTTTCTTGCCTCCCGTTGCTAAATCTTTGTGTGTGTGTATATATATATATATATCACAGACACACACCCTCTCTCTCTCTCTCTCTCTCAAACACGCTTATCTACTTTGGCTTCCACTAAGGTGAGCATCTCTTACTCAATCTGATCCATTCCCTCTCTATACCCGCACGCATCTCCTGGTGGGGGGTGGGGGTGGGGTGGGGACGAGCAACTTGAACTCTTCTAAATTAGGTGGTTTATCCCAAACCCCTCTGTGAAAGTTTTGTTTATTATGATAAAAGGCTCCCCCCCTTCTCTCCTCCCCACGACGTCCTAGCTAAGCTTAGCACTGATGATTGAAGACTTGTGGGTTTTAAGAGCAAACTTCAATTAGGCTTAAAACAGGATTTACTTAACACCCAAGCACTGTCAGATGGACTGGTCCATAGCTTAACGCCATCTTTTCTTACGGCTGTCTAACTATCTGTCTGTCCGTCTCCCCCCCCCACTCTCTTCCTCTCCCTTTCTGGGGGGGGATCTTTCCCGATATTAACTTACCGCCAATTTTTCAAATGCTCTTTTCATGGAGGGGGGGTCAATTTCGGTCTCTGCCTTCTCGAATAAATGGCGTTTTTCCTACTAGTGGGCGAGGGTGGAAAGATGGGCTACCAAATTCAAATAGGCCGGTGAGCAAGAGGGCCAGTCTTCTCACCCCTCTTTGATCGAATTAATTGGGAAAGGAGACCGGACTGTGCTGCCGGAGTCACCGCTCCAGAGTCTAAATGGGTCCCGCAAAAGGCACTCCCAAACTTTCTGTCTCGGAGGCTTCTCCCGCCGCCGCCCCTCTCACCATCCCGTCCCTCTTATTCTACTCCCACCCCTACGTCCTGCGCCTTTCCCCCTGGATCAGATGGTAACACTGATTGAACAAGAGATTAGCACAATAGATCCCTAATCGAGGGGAAACGTTTCTTTTCACGCTAAGCACCGTAATTAACGGTATGAATCAATTAATTTGACTTTTATTGTGTGGAAACAAAAAAGGGCAACAAATGATCTCGACGCCGTGGGGGGGGGGAGAGAAAGGGTGCCTGGGTGTGTGCGTTTTAATTTTCTCCCTTACATTTTCCGGAGAGATTTCAGCGAGGCAATCGCAGGAGGCAGAGGCATTTGCGATCCTGTGCTTTCAGTGGCAAGGAGCCATTTCGACCGGCCCGATGGCGGGGTGGGGTGGGGGAAAGAAAACCCAAATCAAAACAAAAGTTCCACTCGGTTTTCTTTTAGAAAGACCTGAGCAAAAAGAACGCCCGAGTTTTGGTGTGTAGGTTACTAAAAATAGGCGGGCTTCCGGAGAGCGTCTGTGTATGCGCGCGAGTTACACACCCATGTGTAAAGAAGAGGTTGTGATTCCAGGTGGCGAAATTTATTAGGATCATGGAAGGAAGGATGAAAAAATAAAGGAAGAAAAATCAAAGTACGGAGTAAAGACAAACACGGATACGCGAAAATGGAGGGGAGAAAAAGGATTTTCACTGGCTTCTTCGAGGTGAGGCCACAATAAAAGGCAGGTGTGTGTCTACGTGGAACGAGATAAATTTGCTTTAGCTTGCACAGTTTTGTGAATTTCCCACAGATGAGCGTCTCATTTCATCTCCCGCCCTGATCAACATCTCAACCGAAAAGGTAAATTTCCCCCCTTGTTTTGATCGATATTTAGCAACGGTCCAATCTCATCCTCTGGCCATTTCCTCTATTGTCTTTTAAGAAGTAAACCCTGAAGAGTTCCATGAGGCCTTGTTCCCAGATATGGGATGGCAACGTTTCCTAAAAGGTGATGCCTTACGGACAGGTTTTAACGAAGGTCCGTCTTTAAAGGGGTTGCCTTTATCAGAAAACACCAGGATTTGAAGGAAGCAACGCAAAAAACATCTACTGGAATCCCACCTTGGCTTGTTTTTATGTTTATGTTCCTAGGATAGGACTAATTTTATTGATCAGGTTGAGATGATGGAGAAGAGTTTCCAAGAGACTAATCACCCTCCAGCCTCACCAGGTTGGAGAAGGGGGGGTGTTTTTGTTTTTACAGATGCTCCATTGTCTAATCCGGAACAACCGGGATGCCAAACCCTTTGGTGTGAACAGCCGGTCCGATCTAACGTATACACAGAGAGCCAGATTCATTTCCCCGCCTTTCTTGGCTCCTCTCCTCCCCCTTTATGAAGAGAATAAATCATCCATCTCTTTTACCCAGTAAAATATTGTCCTGATTTCTTTACTCGTCTGTAGCTCCCCCGTCCATTCCTAGCAAACCCCCTTCTCTCCTTACAAAGCTGACTCACGTTTTTCCCTCCATCCCATTTTTTCTCTGCCCACTTTAAAAATTAATAACTTTTTTAAAAAAAACTCAGAAGAGCTTCAATTTATGTGTCTACTTTTAATTATTAAAAGGCGGGGGGAATCACGGAAAAGACGGGCAGAGCCTGGCCATTTATTAAGGAAGGTGGCGAGACTCTGACTTCTTTCCGATATTCAGAAGTCACATTCCTCTTTCGGGACGTTTGTTGTTGTTTGTTGTTGTCAACATCTCTCCGAAGCCATAAGCGATCATTACAACAATACACAGGATGAACAAACAAGCAACCAAAAACCAGCACCGAAAACCGCCCGCTGAGCAAACCTTTTCAAACCAAAAACCAAACTTATTCTTCTCTGTTGAAATCGATTCCCTAGACAAAACCAGAGGAAATCGAAATTTGCAGCCAGCTTTGACAAACTCCCTTCTCTACCTTTCTAAACGCCGCTCCATCCTCGGAACGAGGCTTCCCTGGAGCAGAAGTGAATACAACCTTTCTTTTCACCCACAACCTTCCCATTTCCTTCTTTTGACATGCTGATGCGCCATCACTCCGTCGTTAACACCTCTCCAAATAGTGTCAATATTAATACTAATACCAATACTGGCGTCCCTCAGCGCCAAGCTTCCTCTCCTCTGTTTTTTTCCTCCCTTTTTGTTATTTATCATTTCCCCCTTTTGTTATTTTACGCCTTTTTGTTTTATTTCTCTCTGGAAGTGAGCTATTAGACTAATCAATAGCCATTTTCTGATCTTCTCTTCCCAGCTGATGCTACTGTTTGCCGGATGAAGACAGAAAGAGCGAAGGAAAGGGATATTCACAGTCCAAAGTTCCCCTGGCCGTTGTTTATTTTTTTTTAAAACTAATAGGCGGCATGCGAAAAGACTTCTCTTTCGTCCAGGCGGGGGTTAGAATTATTATATTAAAGAGATATATTATTATTATTTTTATTTTTGCCCGATGAAGATTAAAAGGCCGGCTTGAGGCAGGAGGTGACAAACCCTCCTCCCCTCTCCATCTTCTCTTGGCCTGAACTTTTAAAAAGAGAAGAGGCCCATGCTTCCTGTATTGCCATCCGACGACAAGCATGGTCCTGTTATTTTATTAGCGTCCCGTTCCTTCCTCTGGATGAAGCTTGTGCCCTAAGATGGCTAAAATGTAAGCTAAACGAAAGAGTGGCAACAGGGCCGGTTTTTGGAGCCTCCCTGGGGGTGGGGGTGGACGAGGCGCGGAAGGGAGGGGGAGGTTTGGGCCGATCGGCGGATGGCTGGGCACCCATCAAGGAGAGGAGAGCCACTGTTGTCTCTTTGTTGACAATTCCTTGAAACAACTTGAGGTTTGCGTGGCTTCGGGGGGGGGTGCGCTGACGTCAGGCCATCACGTGGCCCCGCCTCCTAGTATATCTTTAACGGGAAAGTAATCTATCAGCCAGCCTTTTAAAAAGGGACTTTCAAAGTGGGCCACCGAGTTCCTTATAACGCCCGCGAACTGCCCCGCCCTCCCTTCTCTTTTGCTTGGCGGCCAGACGTAACCTTCCCCCCGCCCTTCCCTCCAACTCCTCTGGTCCTTTCTGGGAAAGAGGGAGGGAAGGAGATAACGGGAGAAGAATTAGAAACCAAAAAAAGGGGGGGGGGAGGAGAGAGAAAGAAAGAGAGGCTCTCTCCCTGTGTATCTGTTCTGTGGGGCTTGAAAGGGGGCATCGGAAGAGGGAAAGAGAGGGAGGACTGAACCAAAAGCTACGCTCTGAGGAGGAGAGATGGAAAGATCGAACCGAAAGAGATCTAACCTGCGGCGGCGGCGGCGGCGGCGGCAGCAGTCCCGATGAGCTGGGAGTGGATCTTAAAGGACCTCCTGTCGCCACCGTCCAATCTATCGCCAGCCGCTGTTCCAGGCGCTTGGTCGGGAGCTCTCATCCCAGACGACCAAAGGGCTGCGGAGGAGTCCTGAAGTGATCCCACCGGGGAGAAGGACACAGTCGAGGAATCCGAGCTGATCCCAGCTCCTCTACATGCCCCCTCCAAAACGCTCCTTAACCCTCCACAATTTCTCCTCCTCGCTGCCCCGTCGTGGATGCTGCTACTGCTGCTGCTGCTGCTTTCCCTGTAGCAAGGTGAGGTGAGGTGGAGCGCAGGGGAGGAGAGAGAGGAGAAGGGGGAGCGGAGGAAGTCCCCCCGCCGCCGCCGCCACCGTCCCCTTCCTCACAGCTAATGAACGCCGAGCTCGATCTGTGAGAGAATCGATCGGGAGATTCCCTCAGACGCCGCAGCAAACTCGGAGCGGAGTCCGGCCAGGAGTTTGAGCGGATCCCAAATGTCGGCGGCAGAAGAAGGCGCCGAGGCCGGCAGCTAGAGGAGGAAGAAGAGGAAGAAGGGAAAAAAGAGAAAGGGAGAGAGAGAG